ATCAACAAAGCGCTGCCATGTAGCTGGAGCAGTATGTAGCCCGAATGGCATCCGTCTGAAATGGAAAAGTCCCTTCCCAGGAACCGTAAACGCTGTCACTTCCTTTGACTCTTCGGCAAGTGGAATTTGCCAATATGCGCTTTTTATGTCTATCGAGGAAAATACCCTGGCGCTATGCAATCGATCTAAAATGGTACTAACATATGGTAGAGGATACGCGTCCCTTTTACTAACCTGGTTGACCTTTCTAAAATCAATACAGAAGCGGTATTCATTGTTGGGTTTCTTCACCATTACAACTGGTGACGACCAAGGTGACTTGGATGGTTCTATCACCCCTAATTCTAACATTTTATCAACTTCAGCGTTAATTTGTTGTTGGATGTAGGGAGAGACAGGGTAATAACGCTGTTTAATAGGGGAATGATCTCCTACGTCGATAACGTGGACCACATTTTTCGCACAACCCAACTTCGAACCCATCTTCGTAAAGAACCTTTCAACCAACTTGGAAACATCCTCGCGCTGCTGTGGCGTGTCGCCACTAGACCCTTGGACAGCCGCAACTCCCAGCGAATAAGAATTCGACGCCACTCTCGGAACAATATCCATGTCCTTCCAAAAATTTATACCTAAAAGTATCTCCGTCGTAATCGAAGGGACAACAAGTACCTTAAGAACCCTAATGCGTGAATTTAACTGGAGGGGAAGATCGATAAAACCTAAAACTTGACGAAGACTACCATCAGCTAACGAGACATCCGGATGTTCTTGTAATTGCAAGTTGAGAGAACGAAGTTTTTCCCAACCGGGACCTCCGACAATGGTGGAACTTGATCCTGAATCCAATAATCCAACTAACGCAATCCCTAAAACTGAAACTCGTAAATAAGGCCTTGGATCTCCCGATGAAGCTAAAAACTTGGAATTCACCGCCTGAATCTCATCTTTCCTGCACTCTAACCTAACAAATTCCAACCACGTTTTCCAAGAATCATCCACCGGTTGTCGCTGCGAAACCCCTAGCCGGTGTTCTAGTGGTTTCTTTGTCCGTTTCCCGATAGTCGAGCTGCGTTCCTACATTGACAAGTGGATGTAGTCACGTCTCGTTTCCCGCATTTAAAACAAAATCGACCATTTCGTGGAGCTCGACACTGGGAAAAATAATGACCAGAGCCCCTACAATTCCAGCAAAGAATCAAACCAACGGATGAAGTTTGAGCCACCATTCGAGACTTGACGAGAGTAGGCCCTGCTAAATCCGGTTCTAAGCAGGATGCTTTCGGGACATTAGGCCGAGGAGCCGTCGCCAAAATTCGTACGGTCTCTAATTTCTTGCAGGTGTCCAAAAGTTGATCGACACTACTGATGTCAACCAAACCGATTCCCTGAATCAAATATGGGGCAAGGTTGCGTTGCAAGACGCGTAATTTCTCTTCCTCTGAGGGTGGGACAGATAACCGATTGAACAAATTTTTCAAACATGCAAAATAACTCCCCACACTCTCATTCGGACCTTGCATTCGTGTCCTAATTTCCTGCCACAATTCCGTCGCATAATCAAATGGGAGAAACTCTTTTCGAAGCTCCCTAACAAAACCCGTCCATGACAGAACCGACGTTTTTACCGAACGATACCAAATTAACGCCTGGTCCTCCAGGAGATCAACTATCGAGTTGAGCAGTTCGACCTCTGAGACGCCTCGCGCAACTCTAAGCTCTTCCACCCTCTCTAGAAAGGCATTAACGCTCATCCCCTGTTTATTTCCTGAAAATTTCAAGCCCCATTGGCAAACAGGAACTTGGTGCTTGTGGATATTTACGACCTGCGCTCCCAAAAGTGGAACCGTCGGCGGTTGCACGTTTGGGTCGTTTGGCTCTACCGTCGCGTCCAGTTTAGAATCAACTAAAACTTCAATGCTGCCCAACTGATTGAATAGGTTGGTCAGACGATCTGCCATTTGAGCACGTTCCTCCTCCGTTAACCTAAGCCTAACTCGACTAACGCGTCCGTACAAGTGTCTTAACTTAGTCTCAACATTTCGTTCCTCTGTGCTGTTTTTCGCAATAGACCGCCGACTTTGGACAAAACCGTAAAGTTGAGCTATTTTCTCCGTACAAATCAGCATCTCGGTTTCCACAACTAAGCGAAAGGTCGGGCTAAAAACCAAGTCGCCAAACTCTTCCGTTCGTATTAATTCCGATAACCTCCTTCGCATCGCCCCTACGGTTTCATGACCAATGTCGTCAACCCCTCGTACCGCCAGCTCATACAAGAGCTCATCTCGAGTGAGCCTATGAGAATCCATAGCTTAGATATATATGTATATATATAGGACGCAACTTAAGATTACCTCAACCCTAAAAATTATACCTACTCAAAAATCAGTTATCACCCAATCACTACAGTCAGAACAAGCCCCACGTTCCGGGCGCCAAATTAATTGTTACGAGGCTCTCTACCGCGACTACGCTCAACCGGGAAGGCCGTGGGTGATGGTACAAAAAAAAAATAAAAGATTGGAGCCTACAATTAATTAAATTTATTTAGAACGGGGGAGGTGAGTGACTGTGTGACTGAGTACAAACTATCGATCTAAATATAAAAAAAAACCTAAATAAGTTACTATTCTAACCCTATGAGTACTTCGCGTCCGTACCGCAACAGTGCCGTTCCTGGCGGTGGCGAAGATGCCGAACGCGAATATACTTAAATAATAAAAAAAATTCAAGAAAATAAAATAATACCTAATACCCTATAACTAACGCCTCTCCTTCTTTCCGGAGTCCAACACGGCGTCCTCACTTAGAAAATGGGGTGGGGCGGGGCGGCTAGTTGACCTTCGTCCAAACTTCACACAGAAAAACCTTTCCACGCCAAGAGCGCAAAAAGATGGCAACACGTAGAAACGAGGAGGGAAAAAAAAACCAATGGTAAAAATAAAGCGAAGACGAAAAAGAAAAAGGCCTCTGATGGTGTGCGGCCTTAAAGTAGATTTTCGGGGGTCTCAAAAACACAGGACACACGTCCTCGTTCCCAAATGCGGTGGCCTCAAATCGTCTCTAACGCAATTTGGAGAAGAGTAATGCCACAACTGGCTAAAATAAGGGCTCTACCTCCAAAACTGGCCCCTTCGCACTGGATACCCTGAAAACACTTGCACCCGTTCCCAACGACTCGAAAAATCAAAATGGAGTCCCTCCTGGTTTTTTTTTCCTTTCTGTGGCATGCGCGGTCTGAAATACCCAAATTGATTGAGGGAGGGGAAAATATCGATACCCCGAATCAATGAGAGCTGTCAACTAACCTCACAAACTCATGTAAATAAACAAAATCAACCAAAATCGTATCAATACTTCACGTATATATTTTTGCAAAATATATAAATGTCAAAATTTAAATTAGTACTGTATTTTTGGATGATTTAAAGTTAACTTGCTGATTGGTGTGGAGTGATGAATTTGAAGTGGCACATGATAACGTAAGAAACGAATCATAATATATTTATTATTTCATAATTCATAACCAATCTAAATTTAAAATTTTAAGTATAGGTTGTTATAGTATAATATATGTGACTTATTATTTTATTTATCCCTTCTTACTCATTCGTGCAGCATTAAAAGCATATAATAACTCGTTAGAACTCCCAACAGCATTGTGTTATCATAAACTAGTCAATTAAATTCTAATACCATTTAAACAATACAGAAAACATAAAATTTAGTAAAACATGTATTCATAAATCAGAACTTTGTATTGATCAAATATTAGGCCTGCAATATTGTTTTCACAAGAAACTGCCGAATCTGTTTATTTATTTTGAAATTTGTTTGTAATCGTAAAATTTAATTTATTTCCAAATGCTATTTTTGACTTCTTTATTTCACTTTGTTTTCTAAACAAACTAGAAACATGCAAATATAACTTCCGTAATATTAATAAATTAATTGGATATAATTTTGTTTCAATTTCCATTACTAAAATAAATTCAATAATATTTTAGTAAATAGACACAGTTATCAATAAACAAATAGGTGATCTAAGTCAATCACCATCAACTACAATGCAATTAACTAACACGAAATTGTTTACACAAAAAAAACTTAAATTAGTATACAGAAAAATCATCATCAATTTCAGTCATAACCAATCACACGAAGGAAAATAAAATGTTGTAACCATTATAAGTTTAAGTTTCAGTTTGCTAACTTTATTCCTAAAGAGGAAAGTAACCATGAAATGCAGTTGAATTTGGAATTAGAGCAAAGGTGTAGAAACGTCACTTCATACCGCAATGAACAAACGAAATTCGGCAATTTCTGTAACTTTGTATTTTCGATATTATAGGGGAAAAGAACGCACATAATATGTAGGTAATAATATGGACGAAATATTAAACTGCAAATAGACAAGTGTGCTACACATATAAAGTGAAATCATTTAAAGTACATTCATAGATTTTTTTGAACATTGGACTTCACCATCCTCACAATAATGTAAATTTAAAGTTTAAATATTGAGAAGCCCTTGGTGTTGAAGAGTATTTTATACATATATGCACACTGAGATTCAGCAGTGAAATTAAACTTTCGTTAGACGCCTCATTTATGTTCACAAGCACATTGCAATTGTCTTAATCCAAGTAAAAGTAAAAAGCACAAGCAAGGTAAAAGTTATAATTTTCAAATTTAACTTTTATTAAACATAGAATATGAATCATATATTACAAAAAAAAAGATCAACTTATAACGGGATAAGTGCAAATCTGTGTAAAAATGTAAATCTGTGTGGCTTTTATATGTTTTAATTTAGTCAGAAACCGTAACGTACATTTTCATTTCAAATAAAATCATCGACACATCGTGAAAAATCTTGACCTGGACGGTGATACATCTACTACATAAAAGCAGATTTATGTCTGACGTTTTTATATCTATGCGTGTCCGTGAAAAAACTGCTATATATAACTGAAATTTTAATTTAAAATAATACTTACACTCATTATATGGGGAAATATTTTCGTAACAAGTTGTGTTGTTCATAACAGCTCTGCAACAGCCTGTAAATGAAAGCAAATATTAGAACATCCGAAGTATATATCATCAAAGTAATTACATTTTTTCGCTGAAAAATTATATCTGTAATGCATTTAAAATGCGTACCCACTTTTAAAATACGGATGTCAGCGCTTTATAATCAAGATCCGGAACACTCGCTGCTAACTTATACTTCAAAATGAAAAGTGCTCTGCAACGTATATAACGACCATAAAAGGGTGTGTTTCAAGTTATTCGTGTTTTAGCCGTTAATTCCATCTTTGATAATATTAACGACGTTTTACCCAAGTGTATCTTAAGGGAATATATGGAAAGATTGCTCATAAATTATTTATAAAAAATTGGTCCAAGGTTATTTCGACAGAACTTCCCTCGTCCCTAAAATGCAATAAATCAAATCCAGCTTCTTCGAAAAATTTTAAATTTGTTTATGCGATGGAATCGATTGCTACACATCCTTAGCTTACGCTCGGGAAGTAAAGAAGCTGTCAAATCTAAAAAATAAAAAAGTTAAACTTGAATTTAAAGCTTGTTGTTATTGCTGAGAGGTCATTTTTTCCAGCTGGTTATATGCATTAAATATATTTTACATTGTCCGTACTTGTGCAAAATATAATTTTATAATTTTTCAAAGAAAGGCGATTTAAAGGACGTGTGTTTCACAAAAAAATTGCAAATCCCGTGAATACTGCTTAGCAAATCTACAAGCGAAAATAGTAATAAACGACAAACGTTGTTAAATCCACTTGAATATTATTAATTTTAGCTTTCATTCCATTTTGATGTTCCAAATTCATTTCGTCTCGACTAGCGGGGTATATTAGAACTGTAAATACACAATTATACATATGTGCGGTTAGTACAAGTTAGAAATATTGATTATTAATCGTAATTTATATAGAAAATAGATTAAAGACAATTATTATTGTTTATTAATAAACCGATCGGACTGGAGCGCACGCTATTGCAAAAAATACTTTGTGTACCTTCATTGCTTGCAAATATCTTGCATTATTCATAAATCGAATAACGTAACTATCAATAATTATCAAGAACCGGCCAGCGTTATGTTGCGAAATTTACAAGTTCCAACACATACTGATCTCCAGGGGGACGAGCTGTTACATAATTCACCGCATCATCCTTTAGCATCATATTAATTTAACTAATGATAATTTTCAAAGTCATTTCTTGCAAAATGGACCAACGTTTAGGATTAGTTTACATGCTATTAATGAATTTTAAGTTTATTTTGGATTTTTATCTTTTTTTCTTAATATGTGTAGTCATCTTTTCACAACAAGAGACTTAAAACATGTCTCGAATGGTAAATTTGTATAGAGAAATATCGATTTTGTAATTACCCTCGAGTGAAACATTGATCACGGTTAAGATCGAGGGCGGGTGGGGCTTATATTTTGCTTTTTTTTCTTAATATACATAGCGATCTTTTCATTTCAAACTTAAAACATGGTTAAAATGGTTTTTGCAAGGAAATATAGATATTGCAACTATGCGGTGGAGTCTAATTGCAAAATCGATATTTCCTTTTACAAATTTTCCATTTTAAACAAGTTTTAAGTTTCATGTTGTGAAAAAAAATCTGCACATATTAAAAAAAAGACAAAATATAAACCCCGTCTCAATTGTGATGATGAAAACACCCAGTGTAATGTTGTGCTACGAAATATTTTTGAGTTTTATTTATTTTATTCACTGCTAAAATAAATTACTAGTGTAAGTTATTCAGTACAGTACCTCTAACAAAAGTTTGTTAAGTACATATCATTATCATTAACATTATTCCTTCAAAATTACAAGGATGTTTAATAAATAACTCTGACCTGGACTTAGCGCATAAATACTTACGTTCTTATGTTCTAATACTTCTCAAAGGCCACGTTAGTTGAAGCGGAATGAATTTCCAACATCAAAAAGAAATGAAAGGTAAAATAAAATGTATTCAAGAAACGTTAATCATTTGTGTTGTTAATTATGAATATTTTTAGACGACCCCCTAAAACTCGTGTACATAGTCGGATATAAGATTTTTCAGAACGAACACGTTAAGTTAATATTAAAACTTTTACTTTGCATCATGTCCCTGGTTTTACTCGTCCAGACTTGTTTGTTCGTGTCGTCACCAAATTTTCTAAAACTAACTAAATATGGATTAAACTTTTTCCAAATGGCTTATGTAACATACTTTAAGGGAAGCTTTTAGAATTCTACACGTATTCTTCTAGGCAGCGTTTGTAATATTCGTGCATTTATACATAAATAAGTGGATTGACGACATCATGAGTTCTTTTCCACTTTGGGACATCGACACAGCTGGCGAACAAATCAAAAACAAAATTAAAAAGGAATCGAAAATAATTCAAACTTACGTCATCTCGAACACTATATCGTGTCAATTCTGGGTCAGTTTAATGTTGTACTCCCAGTTGACTACCCTTCCACACAGAAATGATGGTCTAAATGGATGCTACTGTATGTTATCATTAATAGTTTACGTGATAGATTTTGCTATGTTAGGCCACACATATCAATTTCTGTACGTAACTCAGCAAGTGAAATTTCAAATGTATTTATTCAACAAGTACGTCGAGGAAGTTTGTCGTATGGATGAAGAAGAAACAGAGGAAGAAAATTTAGTAGATAATCAAAGATACCAAGAGGAAGTCAAACTCAGACTTACTCTACTCGTTAGAAGACATTGTGAATTTAAGAGGTACGAGTAAAATTTCGTCTCTAATAGAGAAATTTGAAAAAAATCTCTCATACTGTTCCCAGATGGAAAACTATGTGTCTGCATGTAATACGCAGGTTTATAATACCATTTAGTTTAGGGGCTGGCGTTCTTTTATTTATGGACCTGTATGCTTTTTTGGTATGTATTATCTTTAATATTTGGAGACTTTTACTAATAAAATACCACTGCCAGACTAGGGAACAGTTACCATCCATAGTTGTATGGTGCAACGCTCTTTTTACCCTCCAAGCGACATCCGCGTTTATATGTACAATAACTGCAGGCGAAACTTTACAAGACGAAGTAAATTTATACCTGTTTGTATTTTTTTCTTATTGTTAGTTTTCCAGTCTGACAAAACGTTCACCACACTTATGCTAACAAAGTGGTACAATTTTAATTGCAAAAATAGAAAATATTTTCTACTGATGTTGTGCAACAGTTTGAAACCTATAAACCTTAACTTTTCAGCAGAAATTGCCATTAACTACAGTCTGGGAATGGCTGTAAGTGTATTTTCAGAAAAGGTCGAATCGCTGATGTACTTACTGATTTCTGGTTTGTAGATTGGCAAACTGGTATACTTGGGAGTTTCAGTTTTCTTTTAAGAATAATCGTGACAGCTCGTGTTTGTCATTTATGTTCTCACGATATTATTTTAAGACTTCTAGCACCTAAGACCAAGTGATCCTAGAGTTACAGTATACAAATTCTGACTACTCTTGCAAAATTTTTGCAAATGTTCCAACTGCGCCACTTTCACTACCCAGATGCTCGTTATGAATCAAAATTAACATTTTATTACAGACGACTGCTTCTTCTCGTCGACGCCGCCGGAAGAAGAGAATGTTGATTTGTAGAGAGTGTATTACAGTAATAGGTTACACCTTAGTATGTATAATTTTCGAATGAAGTAGAATTATTCTCAAAATTAGAGTTTTTATTCCTGAAACTGCTTGAATTTTCAATCTTTCTACATTTTATTTTTTCGATTTTTCTGTTTTTCGAATATTTGTTCCATCGAATTTTGTAAGATTCGATCTTACAATTTGTTTCTGTTTCGATTTTTTTTTTAAATTATTCAATTTTTCAGTTTTTCCATTCTTGATTTTTTCAATTTTTTTACTTTTTATTTTATCAATTTTCGTTTTTTCGAACATTGGATTCATCGAAATTTCGATTTTTCGATATTTGCATTTTCCGGTGTTGTAATTTCGAATTTTAGATTTTCCAATTTTTCGTTTTTTTTTAGTTTTCGCATTTTCGTAAAACTCGGTGTGAAATACGAATTTTTTGAATTCTTTGAAAATTGCGATATTTCAATGGGCAATTCTGGAAAAACTACAAAACTGCAAAATTTTGAAAAAGTAGAAAATCGAAACATTGAAATTCAGATACCTTTAAAAATGGAGAATTGTAAAGAAAAATTGGTTTATTTCAACAGAACTTTGCAAATATTTTATGTAACCCAACAAGTGAAGTTTCGGATGTACTTATTCAACAAGTACGTCGAGGAGATTTGTTGTAAGGATGGAAAAGAAAACGAATAAGAGAATTTAGTGGAAGATGAAGAATACCAAGAAGAAATGAAACTTAGACTGAAGCTATTAGTTTAGGCAGTACTTCCCTCGCTGTCGGAAACGTGACGACTGCATGCCTATTATGTTTTTTTCGCAGTGGATTTCAAAAATTCGGTTTTATAGTTCCTGAGTAAATCAATAAAATAAATTTACGCATTCATTATTTTTTTTACTCACCCTGTATATGCAAATCCGAAAAATATGAATGAAGTGATAAATCACAAGTACAGACTCATCATATTTTGTACAGTTTAGATAGGATTTATTCGGCAAACTTTCGAACTGACGTCATCAATTTTTTGGAGGGGATGAGCAAATGTATTTTGACTAAACATTTATTATGCTCTTTACAACCTTAAAACATCTACAAGATTTCAAAGCATTCGGTTTTGTGGTTCCCAATTAACTCAATAAAATAAATTCACGCATTCGTTAATTTTTTGAGTCACTCTGTATATGCAAATCGAAAAAATTTGAATGGAATGATAAATCACAAGAAGAGACTCACCATATTTTGTACATTTTAGATAGGATTTATTCAGCAAAATTCTGTGGTGACGTCATAAATTTTTTAGGGGGTACGACCAACTACATTTTGATCAAAAATTTACCATACTTATGATAATTTTAAAACATCTTCAAGATTTCAAAGCATTCAGTTTTGTAGTTCCTGAGTAAATCAGTAAATTAAATTTACACATTCATTAATTTTTTTGAGTCACCCTGTATATGCAAATCCAAAAAATATGAATGGAGTAATAGATCACAAGTACAGACTCATCATATTTTGTACATTTTAGATATGATTTATTCGGCAAACTTTTGAGCTGACGTCATCAAGTTTTTGGAGGGGATAAGCAAATATATTTTGACTAAACATTTATTATGCTCTTTATAACCTTAAAACATCTGCAAGATTTCAAAGCATTCGGTTTTGTAGTTCCCGATTAAATCAATAAAATAAATTTACGCATACATTAATTTTTTGAATCACTCTGTATATGCAAATCCAAAAAATATGAATGGAGTGATAAATCACAAGTACAGACTCATCATATTTTTACAGTTTAGATAGGATTTATTCCGCAAACTTTTGAGCTGACGTCATCAATTTTTTGGAGGGGATAAGCAAATATATTTTGACTAAACATTTATTATGCCCTTTATAACCTTAAAACATTTGCAAGATTTCAAACCATTCGGTTTTGTAGTTCCTGAGTAAATCAGTAAAATAAATTTACGCATTAATTAATTTTTTTGAATCACCCTGTATATGCAAATCCAAAAAATATAAGTGGAGTGATAGATCACAAGTACAGGCTCATCATATTTTGTGCATTAGATATGATTTATTCGGCAAACTTTTGAGCTGACGTCATCAAATTTTTGGAGGGGATAAGCAAATATATTTTGACTAAACATTTATTATGTCCTTTATAACCTTAAAACATCTGCAAGATTTCAAAGCATTCGGTTTTGTAGTTCCTGATTAAATCAATAAAATAAATTTACGCATTCATTAATTTTTTTGAGTCACCCTGTATATGCTAATCCAAAAAATATGAATGGAGTGATAAATCACAAGTACAGACTCATCATATTTTGCACAGTTTAGATAGGATTTATTCGACAAACTTTCGAGCTGACGTCATCAATTTTTTGGAGGGGATAAGCAAATATATTTTGACTAAACATTTATTATGCCCTTTATAACCTTAAAACATTTGCAAGATTTCAAACCATTCGGTTTTGTAGTTCCTGAGTAAATCACTAAAATAAATTTACGCATTAATTAATTTTTTTGAGTCACCCTGTATATGCAAATCCAAAAAATATAAATGGAGTGATAGATCACAAGTACAGGCTCATCATATTTTGTACATTTTAGATATGATTTATTCGGCAAATTTTTGAGGTGACGTCATCAAGTTTTTGGAGGGGATAACCAAATATATTTTGGCTAAAGATTTATGATGCTCTTTATAGCCTTAAAACATCTGCAACATTTCAAAGCATTCGGGTTAGCAGATTCAAAATTAAATTTCAAAATGTTGTTTTATAATTTTGATTTTTTTTCCAAAAATCTGGACGTTTCGGGTGAAAACTCAATTCGGAATTGTAAACTACATGTATAGGACTATGTTATTTTATACAATTTAAAACCCATTTACTATGTACAATTTTGAAGTGACGTCATCGCATTAGTGGTGGGGATGATTAGACGAATTTTGGTTAGCGTTTTACCATCTACATGATATTCCTAATATAAGTACAAAATTTCACGCCAATCGGTCCAGTACTTTCGGAGATCTGTCTAATAAAAATTCGGGACGGCAGACAGACGGACAGACGGACAGACGGACAGACAGACGGAAATGGGAGACCTATTTCTTCGTCTTCTACGGGTCATGAAAGATCGAGAAAACGTAAAAGTAGAGAGTCGGCCGACGGACTCGATTACAATACTTCCTTTGCTTACGCTCGGGAAGTAAAAGATTTATAATGTAAGTTTTTTTGGCAATAAGTAAAAAATGTTGAATTTTCTGCGTTGCAGGGGTCTTTGCTTTTATCTTATTATTTTTATTTTATTACTTCCCGAGCGTTAACAAAGGAAGTATTATTATTAATATGATTTTCTTGATTTCTTCGTTTTTATAATCCATACTATTGATTATTATTATTTACATATTACAGTATTCACCTACATTTATATTTGCTGCTTGGAAATTCTTTCCATCTGTGCCTTGTAAGTACGCCACTCTTAGGAATTGTAGTAATTAATAGTAGCAATTTTATTTGCTTTACTGCACATATTGTTATAGACACATCCTATATCCCTAATATGGCTTGAATAAATGTATTCCAATAATTAAATTCCATTTAATTAATATCATTCATTTAATTAAAAGGGGGAATCAAATCAAAACAAGAACGTAAAAATGTTTATTTGTTCTTCATTTGTAAACATCAATTTACCAAGTCACTGTATTCAACATGAAAATGTCACTTAACTGGCTAGCCAGTAAAATTTTTACAGCCCTGCTCGTGCTCATACAGCCATGTATTTTAAACATTTAAAACTATTATAAGTTGAAATGACATCCAAATTGATTCAGGTAAATTTGCACTCACAATTGCTGCTTCCTCAGTAATATAGCTTGCGCCACACTCATTTCAATACATCGAAAACGATAAATCGAAAAATCTAAATGACAGAACTAGACAACACAGTAAATGCTATGACAAGTGCCATGCTGACGTGCGTTTCCAAGGGAATACGTCCAAAGCTCATACGATGTTTCTTCAAATATTGGACCTTCTAGAGTTTTTAATAATTTATAATAGTTATTTACAAGTGAGAAACAAATAAAATATTGAACAATACACGCAAGGTAACGGGTTTTTACTGGCTCCAGAAGGTGACTGGCTCGCCTGTGGCTCGCCAGAGATATCCGTCTGTCCGCCAGTAAAAACCCTTTTACCATGCTAGTAATGTTAAATACTATATCATATTTCTGTAAAAATTTTACTCGCATTTATCCTTCTTAATGTTATTGTCAGATACTTCAAAGGTGGTCAGATAAGCTTAAGGTCTTTAAAACGTACTCTATTGTGTGGGCTATAAATTACAGCTTACCGCCTCAGCTAATATTTTGGGTTGCCTAACTTACCAAAATTTGCCTCAAATGCATTGCAGTTTTTTTACAATAACTAAACGAAGTAAAATTTTAACAGAAAACGAAAAATGGCGCCTAAAGTAGAAAAAAATTCTCGATCACCTCGATATTTTTTAAGAGCACACCGAGGTATAGTTTTCGCTAAAAATCCGCTCGGGTTTTACGCACTTTATTTTAAAAACCGCTACGTTTTTTAAAAAATACAAGGCTCTTCCTTAAAGATTTTTATGTCATGAGCACGCACATGTATCGCCCTGCTCTTCAACTGTTAAAATGAAGGCGCAAAATGGGTCGGCGTTTTGCCCTATTTTGACATCTTTTAATGACTGTGTGGAGGATTAGTGAACGCCCCTACTCTGACCGGAGTTAAAGTTCT